AAAAAACTTACTGACGTTTCGAAGGCTAGTCCATCGTCGGGGTTGCAAAAAAAACTAGGGTATTATATGTGAAATTGTTTCATTTTAAAATCCCTTAACAACAATGAATTTTCTCTGAATTTTCACACTAAATAATTATTTGAAAGTAACTCATGAATCGCGAAGAAATTATGAATAATAACTATAAATTGGCAAGCATAAAAGGAATCACCTAGTAACTATTGAAACTCAGTTACAAATGCTTGGTGGAATAGCTTTGGTCACTTCTATAAACATCACAAATATAGTCGTAAAGAAATGATCGTACTCTCAAAATCATGATATGACTGAACCTCACCACATGAAAGACCACACTAAAATAAGGCTTCTTGTCAAGTTTGATGATATTTGGTTGAAAACTCACCGAGTAGGATTTTCTTCGAATTTGTAAAACTAAGAGAATGTATGTTTTTTGGGGACGCTGCTCAAAGTTCCATACATTCTTCGTAATTTTTTCGAGTTTTAAACGCTTGAAACTCTGTAATTATATTGATCCGAGTTCTTTGTTTGCACGTACGTCATGGAAAAATAAATTTTCCGTAAAATTAGTCATAAACAAAATTCAAGTAATTCATGTGAAAGAGCGAGTAAAACTCTGTATCCCTGAGAATTTTTTCGCCGAAAGGTGTTTTATTTGCCAAGATATAAGCAATTTTATACTCTACTTTTTTTTTAGAAGGAAATGACATATATGGCGAGGTCATGTTTATACGCCTCCACGGCACCAACATTTTTTGAGAGTTTTAAAATCAAAGAATAAAGTTTCGGTACTTTCACATAATAGACGTATTAAATTTCTGTAATTCTGTGAATTTTAGAGTCGAACCGGGCGAGCTTTTGTTGCAAGTTTATCAGCAATTTTATATGCCGGTCTTACAAAGAAATGTATGGCGGCACCGTCTGGTGGACCTGTGAAGTCCACCAGAAATTAATGGCGGCTAACTGTTATGAACATAATTTCGGGCACAAAGTAGCAAATTTACCTCATCATCACTACATTTAGCAATTCTAGATCTATATTAAAACAAAAAACTACGATTTAGAAGAATTTTAGATGATTTCCACGGCTTTTCATTTGCCTGACCTGGCATTGTGTGACATGACTTTGGTTATGAAATTAAAACACGTTGTGCATCAAATTATTCGCATATAAGTTCAAAAATCAAATCATAGTTTTCTCAAAAAAATAGTTTTCTAAACTATATATTAGAAATCATCTCTCAAAACATAGTTTTCTAAACTATATTTTAGAGTAAAATCGATTTCATGGGAAATTAAGTTTAAGTTTTTTTTATTTATGACGTAACGTGCAAACGAAGAATACTCTCAAACTCTGCAGCTTTACTAATTTTAGTATGTTCTTTCTTGTCCTGGTGTCTGTTTTTTGAATTTCGGAACAGGCAATTGCTCGGTGATACCATACGGTCGTCGGTCTTTTGACACCTTGAGAATCTCCTGATATCCCAGGTCATCTACAACAACATCATCAGATGTGAATGATGATTCAATGATTGCATCAATATCGACCTACAAAGCAAACAAAAAGCTCATTTGTGCATCGGTGATCTAACAAGTATACATTGTATAATTGACGTTCACAAGGATTTGTTTTAGGTTGAGCTTTTAAGAAACACACCCGAAACTGAAGTACTGACCCTCTTACCTTATGAAATGCATTTTGGAGAGACGGAATTGTCCCTTTCAACATTTGATGGCTGTGGTTCCCAGAAAGTCGCCCTGCCAACGATCGACATAAACCTTCAAAAGTGCCCATAGTCAACCCATGCATATGATAATAGAAGTAAATGCCTGACCGGTATAGATCCGGCAACCATATCTTTCTTTCATATTTATTATTTTATTATTATAACGAATAGAATGATCAATACCTCCCATGCATTCAAAGTTTTAGATCGTATTAAAAGAGCCAGTGAGAGCATTTGCAAGATAAGTGGGTGCGATGAAAACGGGTCTATTGCCATGTAAGATTACCTTTTACAATGATGGTATAGTTAGTGTGGAATAACGAAAAAGGATCACTTTCAACATCGATAAAGCATGTCCAACAATGCAATGTCTTTGAATCCCAGCAATCAACGTTTGCTGAGAATGCTTTGAGCGGCATCATACTTGGTACAGGCTACTTCTTAATCTACAAATTATCTTTAAAATTATACTTATGCTTATTGTATTGTTGGTCTGCGATCATAAAAATCTTGAAAATAAACTTTTTTTCGCAAAGGATTTGAGTGGTAAATTGTTTGGGGGTTATTCCATCAGAGTTCAATATATATTTTCCCAGCTCCTATTTGCAAAAATTTATAAAAGCACTTTGTCAAAGTAACTACTACCCCTGGAGGTATTCACATGGTCTGAAATATGAGACGTTTTTGCATGCGAACAGCTTTTTCTTTTAACTAGAAAATCAATGGTATTGACAAAAAAGACATTCTAAGTGTGAAGTGCTCTTCCACCATCCAGGAGGTACTCGTTAGTTAGAAAAAAAATAAGATTGTTAAATTATTTTAGTGCTTTGTCATGTCGATCAGTATCTGCGCAACTGCTTTGAGAGTACGTGGTGCAATAATTGGTTGACATGAGCAACGCAAGGAAAACGCAAAGTGCAAATGCATACACGAAAAACGAAAGTCTGTTCAGCCGTTTTTGCGTTTTGTTTCCATTTCGTGTACGTACGTACGTTGCTCGTGTAAGTGCTTATAAAACGAAAAGAAAATAATTTGAAAAAAAAATAATACTATATATAAATATTAAGAGAATGCTTTGCCAAGTACCACTAGTAGACACAGTCTTCAAATTCTAGAGATTACAAGAGCCACTTCGTGGAACACACCATGTTCAAGCTACGTTTTAAAAGTGTATAGAATTTAAACTTGAATTGTTTCCCTGCCCTTGCGTGTTTCCCGACGTTCTCCCATTTAAGCATCGGAGGATATTCCCCGTGTTACATACCATTGTTTTTTAGAAGCACGCGAGATGGGTTTTTAATCAAGAGCTGAAAGTAATCGATTTAAAACCTTTTCGAGTGGTTTGGCAAATCCACTAATGTTTCTATCAGAGAATACTCTTGTTTCGAATTCTCTTTCATGAATATATTTATTGCCTTCTTTGCACACAGAGAGTTTTTGCATTACAAAAGGATCTATGCAGAATAAATCAATTTATCATATAATAGTCCACTTCGCGGATAACACAGCTATTAGAAATTGAGCAAAAATCAAAAAAAATATTACCACCACTGGAAATAACAGTATAAAATTAGTATGTTTACCAGGTTTGAGCATGATTCGATGAAAATTCAAGGAGATACAGCGTTTAAAAGTCGGCAAAATTTACAAAGAAATGTATGGGCTGTCGGCATGAGATCGAGGTTGACCTTGACTTGTTACAACCTCGCCAAACATTTCTATGCAAAATTTAGTGTTTTTGAAGTGCCGTATCTTTAAATCAGATTATTTTCAAACTTGGCAAATTTGCTGATTTTATGGCACTCTTTCCAGAGATCTTTTCAACACTCGAAGATAAAATCCGTATCTCCGCGCGCCCATGTAATATCCTCTATATATATTACATATCGAATAGATATAGTTGTAGGTTGGTCTATTCATAATGATTTAAATGTTACTTCAACCTAAAATTTTATTCATTTGTTCGAGCTGTCGGCTCACCGAACCATTATAAAGACTGATGAAAAAACATTACAGTTTACAAAACAAAATAAAATCAATGAGCGCACAGTCGGAGAAGATCTAATGTAATTAGAGCGCACGGTAACTAGTTTTTATGACACAAACTAAGATAATTTTGCGGGATTATACTGYTTCTCGGCAACTGTCCACAAGCGGTCAATAATATGTTATGGAACGTCAATAAGTACAAAGTCGCAGAAAAACACTATTCAGTGTCGTGAAAATGTCACATTTACGGATGGACTACAAATAACTAAGTTAAATTTATAGTATTCAATCATATCATTTTGTTATAACATTGATTGATTTTGGTGACATTTGACTATTTGTATTATGTGATCATTTGTCATTTTTCAGTCATTTTATCAAAATCTTTAGTAAAAACACTTTATTTATTTACTTGTTTTGCTCTCTTTGACACTTGATATGATAAGAAAACACTTATTTACTGGAAACCTCGGAAAACAATATCCCTCGACCGCTGATGTTTCCCGATGCAGCGGTCTCGGGACCACAAAGCATACTGTTTCCCTCGGTTCCAGTAAATAAGTGTTAGTTGATAAGTTTTGACGGGTTATGAAGTCGATTATCGCAAAGACCTTATTTTTGCTGGCTGAGGACATGTGGAAAATATGTTGTCAAATAAAATCTCGAAACTGGAGTACATATAGGAAACACGGAAAATATATATTTTAATACTTTTGTATCGCTTGAAAACCATGTTTCTGTGATCTAAAAGAAAAGTGTTTTTTTTTTTTTTTCAAAGAACCAACGCGAGCGTAATATTTTTCTTTTCATTTTTTTCTTTACATCTAGCAAATCACTGTGAAAATGGAAGCAAATGTGTTCGTTTAGTCGTTTGTTGTACTTTACTTAGACTTTGAAAAGCGTTTCAATGATATTATGTATAAAGTCATTTTCTTGAACTGTTAGATTGAGGGTCAGGGTTTGCTTTTCTTTTAGTCTCAATGTGGATATATATTAAAAGAAGCTTTTGTTTTCACCAGTCAAAACAGAGGGGTGTTTAAGTACTCATGAATAAAACCATGAGCAACACGTAGCAAAAATTGTTTTTCTTGCTCATAATAATATTTTTGAGTATTTCTTGTAGCATTGACAACGAAAAGGTTGCAGCCATGTGACTGTTCCTCAAGAGCCAATAATATTCCACTAAAATAGTTATAGGTACAATAAAGGCTAGTTATTATGGAACATATTGAGAGTTAACTTCAAGCAAGTCAGTTGGAGTGACAAACAATTGCACCATTTGTCACAGGTAACTCTCGATAACAATAATTCTTGTCTGTGTAAAATCGTAGCTTTTTGCGAAATTATGCTTTCTGTTGAATTGAGAAAAAAAGACCAGAACTGCTTGTAAAAGATTTATTTACAATGGAAAGAGAGCATATTTCAAATTAGAATGATTGGCATGCTGTGATTTATTTAATCGAAAATACTTCGAGTAGTAGCAATGAAATTACTACACTTTGGAACTGTTGCGGCCGGAGTGTAACCATTCGAGTGAATGTACTCGCGTAGCACGACTCGAGAATGCGAATGCTTTGATCGAAGCTCATACAACGGGTATCTTAGAGAAAACAAGAATCACTTCGTGGAACATACCGTGTCCAGGTTTAATACGTTTTTAAGTGTATAGAATTTTGCCGTTAAATGTATCAGCGCTGCGATCGATTTGATAGATTTTTGACATTTTTGCGTCTGATTTTCACATCATTTTTTAATATTTTTATCATTGCAACGAAAATTTTAGCACTTCAGATATAAAGTCAGAGATAGAAAGAAATAAAAAAATTGTTTTTATGCTGCTCGAGTCGAGAATCGAACCCGAGATCTTCAGTTGAACGCCTCTATTCAAGTATGATCTTGCGTGTAAAATATGTAAAACAACTATCTACAGCAAAAATAAGAAGGAAAGAAAAAATCACTTAGAAGCGATCGAGTCGAAAATCGATCCCGCGATTCTACGTTCGAAGCTTCGAGTACGATAGTCTGTGTAAAAATCAAAGTAACGGCTCGTTTCTCTTCTCCCAAGGGAGGAGACTCCGCTCGAAATCTCCTAAAAAAAGAGACAAAACCGAACGACAAAAATCCTTTTTTCGCGCCAAAATTAAATCAAAACGAACATTTATCTGAGACAGCATTTGCAAATCAACATTTTATACCTTATTTTGGACGAGAGAAACGCTTTTTCGGGTAAAAAAAAAATCCACAAAAATGTCCTCAAAAACGGTCCAAACCCATCCGTGTCGAGGTTATCCTGAGACACTTGCGGGCTCAAAACAGAAAACTAGACAAATTTGAGACTATACGCGGGGAAGGAGGGGTAGTCGGGACAGTTTCACCTGTCACGGAATGACACATCGCAACTCTTTTTATACATAACTGCATACTTTAGATCACTATGTTTGGGAATTTCAGAATCCAAAAACGATCAAAATTATAACATGGATTTTTTTTAAATCTTATTGTATGATCTGTTAATATTTATCGTCTGAAGACTCTGAACACTGTAANTTAAATTTATAGTATTCAATCATATCATTTTGTTATAACATTGATTGATTTTGGTGACATTTGACTATTTGTATTATGTGATCATTTGTCATTTTTCAGTCATTTTATCAAAATCTTTAGTAAAAACACTTTATTTATTTACTTGTTTTGCTCTCTTTGACACTTGATATGATAAGAAAACACTTATTTACTGGAAACCTCGGAAAACAATATCCCTCGACCGCTGATGTTTCCCGATGCAGCGGTCTCGGGACCACAAAGCATACTGTTTCCCTCGGTTCCAGTAAATAAGTGTTAGTTGATAAGTTTTGACGGGTTATGAAGTCGATTATCGCAAAGACCTTATTTTTGCTGGCTGAGGACATGTGGAAAATATGTTGTCAAATAAAATCTCGAAACTGGAGTACATATAGGAAACACGGAAAATATATATTTTAATACTTTTGTATCGCTTGAAAACCATGTTTCTGTGATCTAAAAGAAAAGTGTTTTTTTTTTTTTTCAAAGAACCAACGCGAGCGTAATATTTTTCTTTTCATTTTTTTCTTTACATCTAGCAAATCACTGTGAAAATGGAAGCAAATGTGTTCGTTTAGTCGTTTGTTGTACTTTACTTAGACTTTGAAAAGCGTTTCAATGATATTATGTATAAAGTCATTTTCTTGAACTGTTAGATTGAGGGTCAGGGTTTGCTTTTCTTTTAGTCTCAATGTGGATATATATTAAAAGAAGCTTTTGTTTTCACCAGTCAAAACAGAGGGGTGTTTAAGTACTCATGAATAAAACCATGAGCAACACGTAGCAAAAATTGTTTTTCTTGCTCATAATAATATTTTTGAGTATTTCTTGTAGCATTGACAACGAAAAGGTTGCAGCCATGTGACTGTTCCTCAAGAGCCAATAATATTCCACTAAAATAGTTATAGGTACAATAAAGGCTAGTTATTATGGAACATATTGAGAGTTAACTTCAAGCAAGTCAGTTGGAGTGACAAACAATTGCACCATTTGTCACAGGTAACTCTCGATAACAATAATTCTTGTCTGTGTAAAATCGTAGCTTTTTGCGAAATTATGCTTTCTGTTGAATTGAGAAAAAAAGACCAGAACTGCTTGTAAAAGATTTATTTACAATGGAAAGAGAGCATATTTCAAATTAGAATGATTGGCATGCTGTGATTTATTTAATCGAAAATACTTCGAGTAGTAGCAATGAAATTACTACACTTTGGAACTGTTGCGGCCGGAGTGTAACCATTCGAGTGAATGTACTCGCGTAGCACGACTCGAGAATGCGAATGCTTTGATCGAAGCTCATACAACGGGTATCTTAGAGAAAACAAGAATCACTTCGTGGAACATACCGTGTCCAGGTTTAATACGTTTTTAAGTGTATAGAATTTTGCCGTTAAATGTATCAGCGCTGCGATCGATTTGATAGATTTTTGACATTTTTGCGTCTGATTTTCACATCATTTTTTAATATTTTTATCATTGCAACGAAAATTTTAGCACTTCAGATATAAAGTCAGAGATAGAAAGAAATAAAAAAATTGTTTTTATGCTGCTCGAGTCGAGAATCGAACCCGAGATCTTCAGTTGAACGCCTCTATTCAAGTATGATCTTGCGTGTAAAATATGTAAAACAACTATCTACAGCAAAAATAAGAAGGAAAGAAAAAATCACTTAGAAGCGATCGAGTCGAAAATCGATCCCGCGATTCTACGTTCGAAGCTTCGAGTACGATAGTCTGTGTAAAAATCAAAGTAACGGCTCGTTTCTCTTCTCCCAAGGGAGGAGACTCCGCTCGAAATCTCCTAAAAAAAGAGACAAAACCGAACGACAAAAATCCTTTTTTCGCGCCAAAATTAAATCAAAACGAACATTTATCTGAGACAGCATTTGCAAATCAACATTTTATACCTTATTTTGGACGAGAGAAACGCTTTTTCGGGTAAAAAAAAAATCCACAAAAATGTCCTCAAAAACGGTCCAAACCCATCCGTGTCGAGGTTATCCTGAGACACTTGCGGGCTCAAAACAGAAAACTAGACAAATTTGAGACTATACGCGGGGAAGGAGGGGTAGTCGGGACAGTTTCACCTGTCACGGAATGACACATCGCAACTCTTTTTATACATAACTGCATACTTTAGATCACTATGTTTGGGAATTTCAGAATCCAAAAACGATCAAAATTATAACATGGATTTTTTTTAAATCTTATTGTATGATCTGTTAATATTTATCGTCTGAAGACTCTGAACACTGTAAAAACTGAGCAGCGCTTTTTTTCAAGAGCGTAACTATTAAGTATGCTATTCTTTGTCAAAAACAACAACAACAACAACTTGATATTAAATGTCAGGTCTATTGAGATCGTTAAGTTTACGAAAAAAAACTATTAACTAGTTATGCTACTTTCGTCAAAAAACTTGAGATAAACAGTCAGGTGAGATCGTCGAGTTTAAACTGTGCGAAAACGGCGACAAATTATAAGGTTTCGAGACTTTCGAGTCTCGATAGCTTAGAGATATTAACTATATTTATAACAAACCAAAGCTAAACAATAAAAATTTACCATTTTTACCATGACCTTGAATGGGTTTTAATTTTGACTAAATTGTATTTTCTAACTATCAGACATGGCACGTTTAAGGGAAAAGTTGTCAGTTCTTCTGGCCATCATGATGATGACAATGATGCTAAAAACTACTGTAAGTACACAAACAATTCAAAAACTACTCTCTGCTTCATCAGTCATGCAAAACTTTCCAACGACCTTGCAAACTTTATCGCCTTTTGCATCCATCCAATCCCATTCCTCCACTTGCATATACGTCAAGTAACTTTTCTGAAGATTTATTCCCATGAGCTGAATAGTGGTCGGAAACTTTCTTTTAGCATTAGTATGTCAACAAACGTCGTCTTTCCAACAGATAAAACGTCTTGATTCTTTTCCTTATTGTATGCAAAGGGTGTGGAATGCGGCTCGAATCTTCTTTGGAAGAAGGCTTCCAATGGAGGACTACCTGATTATCCCGTAGCCGGTGGATCAGATTATCCAGGAGAGGTAGGAAATTCCTAACTATATCGCCATTTCCTTAACGCTATTCAGACAGGTGTGTGTCCCGCTCAAATGATAGGTGAATAACTTTGGAATTAAGACAGCTAAAGTTCTGAAATCTTTGGAAATTTCCTTAAAGTCTGCCGCATGTTTTGTTGTCATTGTCATGGTTGGTGTCCTTATCCATTTTTTAAAAGGCAGTCAGTTTTTTGACACATAAATTAATGCTAAAAAGTAAAATATACTGAACTTTTCATATTTAGATATAGCTTTTTTTTTCTTGGTTATTATGCATCTTCTACCTATTTGAGAATCTACAAACCATAATATTTTTTAATGAAAAAGGTAAAACCGCAGGGCTATGTATACAATTGTTAAGGCCGATTTAGACGGTACAACTTTTGTCTACAACTATCGCATGCAACCTGCGTAAGTCATCCTTACAACATAGCTACAACTGTCGTAGGGATTTCAAACAATTGCTTAATAGCCATACGACAGTTGTAGCCATGTTGTAAGGATGACTTACGCAGGTCGCATGCGATAGTTGTAGACAAAAGTTGTACCGTCTAAATCGGCCTTTAGCTTTTCGTCATTCTTTCGGATGGGAGAAACGTCTATCAAAATCATTAGTAAAGCTTCAAAACTCACTATTCTATTCATCAAATCATAGTTCCAATCGGTAATAGTGTTTTATATTTTCACATATTTCCCTCAATTCTAAGGTTTCCAATGATATTTAACGAATGATAAAAGACTGACTTGATACGTTGTATACTATTAGGTACTTTACGTTGCAAGAATCAGACTAGGCAGTGACCAAACGCCTGGGAAAATGGACGTATCCAACAGGAAGGCGCATGCATCATGGGGAGGACGTGAACACAGTGATACCCAATACGAGATCCTTACCAACCCCGGATGGAGATCTCATTTGGAGTGGCAGGCGAGTGGCGGATACCAAGCCCCTGCCAATGCAGTATTAGGTGGTTACGACAACGGTAAGTCTAAGGATGTGTAATTAGATCTTGAATTCATGTTTGTTTTATTTTCCCGCACGTGTGGGTTCTCTTTGCACGAAGATCTGGTAGAAGTAAAATTCCATGCAAAATCTTGAGGAAATCAAATAAAGGGCTGTTATCTTATAGGCAGGCCAGTGTATGTTGCAAGGGTGAGGTACCCAGACGGTCACATGATTCCTGGAAAAGCAGCGTTTTTCTATGGAAAGGCGTATGTTGGTTATGGCGGGAAGGAATATGAATCAACAAAATTCGACGTGCTGGTTGAACACCAAAGCAAGAAAAGAAAGAGAGATGTGTCTTCTCGTTTTGATTACCCTAATTTGCCGAACGTCAAGCCACTGAAGCGTGCTCCAATCATTGCACAGTGAAAAGTGCATGAGTCTTAAATGGGAAGATATTGAAAACTCAATAGTTGATTTTCATATCCGTTATGTAGATTAGATTTGTTCAATAAGACTTGTAAAACACAAATATGGGGCTAAAATAAACAATATTGGTGAGAAAGGAAAACTTTCCTAGCGTTTTTTTTTTTTTGCCACGCTTGCACGATTTAGCGAAAATCTTTTTATCATCGAGGGCACAGTGCCCCTTTTAAAAACCGAGTAAAGTACTTAGTGGTTCTAAAAAGCTCACTGATCAAAGTACGTTTGGAATACATTGTATATACATTACGCCAAAATAAACTGCAAGAGTTTGAAAATCGTAAAATTTGAAAGAAATGTATAGTTAGTTAGTAGAGAGTGCTGTCCATACATTTCTTTGCTTTTTGTAGATATTTTTATTTTCAACTTGTCGCTCATGGTTCAGCTTTTGATCTTTCTTGTGGCAGGGAGTCATTTATAAGTTAGATAAAAAAAACAAGAAAAAAAAAGAAAAAAAACAACTCGTACCCAGTCGTCTTCTAAGAAATTGGAAACTCCACAGAAGTATATTCTGAGAAATGTTTGACTACTGCATAAATTATAATCTATAAACTGAATTGAATAGATATCAACAATGTTTGGTCGAGTGTGCGGAAAACTTTACTCTTCAAGAGTTTTACAGATTGTACATAAATAAAAAAACTATGTAGGCATTTTTTCTGTAATTTGAGTTCGCCATGTACTTTCAGTATAATAAACGTGTCCAGGCGGAAGGCCTGCGGCACGTTATAAAATGAAGCGACTTTATTTATTTGCTTTTTTCCACTTCGCAGTTTAGCAATCCCTAGGGACCTATAATCCAGAGTTCCAAGGTTCGATCCTCGACTCGAGCACGTCTGAAAGATTTTCTTTTTTCTTTCTTTCTTTTTTTAACTGAAATATAGGTGTTCTAGCCATGTTAAATTTTTATCGTAGAAATTTATGTTATATGTGGCTGAATGTAATTTAGGCAAAGTTAAAATCGAGACAATCTTTGCGCCCAGCGGTCTTTCACCCAGCGTGGGGGATCCCTATGGGGGGGGGGGGGGGGGGGGGGGGGGGGGGCCCTATTGGAACTAGGGGCATACTGGTAGTGTTTGCAGTGCTAGCAAGTTTTTAGCACGAGCGGGAGTTTTTTACTTCTCCCACCCATCCTCCTCTTCTGGTAGATCTCAGTAGGTGAGTTTTCATTCCACTGTTATACAGTGTGACAGGTACAGGTGGTGAGCTRTGGCCCGGTTGCCATGGTTACCTTGTTGCTAGGGCGTGGCTCGTGCTCGGCAACGCGCGCTCACCCGRTACCCAGCCCAAACTCATTTGTCGATGAGTTTTAATTATCTTTACGAGCCGCGTTTGTTGAATTTTAGAAACAAGATGATACTCGAACAGCAGCGGCGAACAGAGGATCGCGGGCTCGAATCTCGTCTCGAGCGCTTTTTTTTCTTAATTCTTTCTTTCTAAATATATTATAGTTGTTATAGTCATTTCATTTTTTTGTAGATTTTGTTTAATAATTATTTTCGAGACATCATTTTCATTTTACACAGAATATTATACTCGAATAGCGTCGAACTTAGGATCGCGGCCATGATTCTCTCAAACATATTGTTTATCCATGAGGCAACTAATGCTTTCAGGTGATATTGAGCTAATGTACCTTTTACACTACAACCATACCCTCAAATGATATTGCAGTCTAGATTAGCTGAACAAGGGTTACAATTATTAGATGACAGCGAAAGCGGTCGTATCTAGGGAGTTCGCGGGCATGCATCCCCGAAACATTTCGAAATTCAGACACTCGGAAACGTGATTTACAGCGTTTTGCCAAGCATATTGTGATTTTTTTATTTTACACCATTGATTGAACCTTTTTATTTTGGACACGAATTAAAGAAAACTCGATAAAATTTTACCGAGGCAAGTGCCTCATGGCCAGGAAATCCGGACATTTGAGCCCGCAATCGCAGCGGTACTTCGCATAAATGCATAAAAACATGTTTGTAAATTTTACAAAGAAATGTATGGATCAAAAAAATATTTGAGAATAACATTTCATCTGTTTTAACTGGAAAGATTCCATAGATGAATTCGTAGAGGGAAACTATTCTTGATTCCACTGTAGGAAATCCAAATAAATCCAATATTGTTAACAGCGTCCTTTTTGACAATTTATTTTCCTTTCGTCGTCTCCCTTTGGCCTTGTATCTCATGGTGAAAACTCGCGAAGAATCGAAATTTCACCGTAGCTGATCGTGTTCCTTTATATGTCACTGATATTCCATAGATCATTTCTGAAAGTCCATATATTGAGGTGTTTCACGCGAATACTTGGCCTGATCTTCCATTTTATTATGCATGTTTGGTACCAAAATAAACCTTAGAAACATGGCTTTCAGACTGGGACTGCTTTAATTTTGGAGGGTTTTTTTTACTGGCGCCTTGCGCGCACTGGTAAATAGCGCAGATAGCGGGAAATACAAACGAAAGATAGGCCAATCAAGTCTAGTGTAAACAATGTCAGACCTTTTAAGTAATGCCCTGAGTAAGAACTAGGGAAGTAAACGGCACAGGAATGCAAGAAGGTGCTAATTGYGCATTGTATAATCCATCCATCCCATTGGTTAAAACATGAAAATCTGCYRYWATTTHAMAAGTTAGCGAATTTTCTAATATTTTATTTAATGTCTGTTTTCGCTTTCATGAAAGCTTTCTTTAGCTTCAATATCAAGGCAATTCTATGTGGGGAACATAGCAAATTAGAAGCATCTTTTGGCTATTGTTTTGAGTGCTTATGATTGGATAAGAGCTTTTAATACAAAAGAAACTTTGTTTCAAAATAGAGTTTATCCACATTTTATTTCAAAAATGTGTTACCCACAGGTTAATACATAATCAGTGTGAAAACCAAGACATTCGTACATGGGGAACTTGCTATGCCGCAGAACAATAGAGAGYTCCCTAGTTCTTTAGCGCATTGTTACTTAAATTCCTTAGAAATGTACAAGTATAAACAAAAGATCACAATATCAACTGATGATCATTGTTTAAAATACCTGAGGCAGACATGTCATTTCGGCAAATAATATTATTTACACTATGAACATTCCAAACGAGCACCTCACAAGCCACTAATGAACTCAAGGATCAGGGCGTGCTATCCCTATAGTCGTTTGTCGATGTTTTGAACGTTTCGATTTCAGCCCAGTATTGTATTAAGATAAAGGATCGTTGCACAAGAGTAGAAAATTTGATCTTCAAAAGTTCAAACCTAAAGGGAACTTGTAGAAAGCTCTATTTTGGCGGGAAAACCCGCTGACTCGTCCCGGGCTCAAATGTCCGGAATTTCTGGTCATGCGCTCGCCTGATCGTAGCTACGGCGCTGGATGATGAGATTTTATTGAGAGTAACACTGGAAATTCATGGTCAAGATCTGAGTAATATGTCTCTTTACGGTACATGGGCTGATGCACTGATCATCATACATTCAGTAGTAGATGCATTGAATGTTACTATACACAATTGCAGGTCTTACAACCATCTGATCTATACATTTATTAAAATTGTATGCAGTTTCAATCATGAAATTGGTTGCCATGGCAACTTTATCATTTACTTTTTTTGCTGTTTATCACTAGTTCAATTATATATTCACTCAAAGACTCTTGACATTTAATACTCATTTTCAAGGCACGAGTCAACCCTGAAATCAGGGTGTCGTTAAATATGTATTCCATTTTATGTACATGCACAAGGATATTTATGATTGCCTGCGTTATCAACAAATTCTACAAAAAATCCAGAAATAAATAAGTAGCGAATCTTCATACTCGGCGTCAGACTCCTCAGGGAAACATTTTTTGAGGGTTTATGTTTCATGAAGCTACGGGAACATTCCCACTAGGCATGGTTCCTGGCATTATAACTGTTTCAAAACACAACACAATCTTAACACAGGGTCTGAATGGGGTTAACCGACTAGCGACAAATGGACAAAATAACTACTGACTAGCGACAAATTTGAACAAAATTTGCTGACTACCAACATTAACAAATTTACTGACTGGCGACACTTTCCAATATTCAAAGATGTTAGCTCCGTGAATACAAGCTTTTTTGAATTTTTCAAGCAACTATACATTCGAAATTTTCCGCGGAAAAAATACATTTTGCTTCGGATTGGCTTCTTGAAGTTGTGATGAGCCGCTCTAAAACTTTAAGGGCATCCAATTGACCAATCAAGACTCGAGAATTCAATTGTTGGCATTTTAGAAAGAATTATATTGGTATAAAGCGTTTTAGATGCATTTAAACTTAATGTTTATCAACTTTTTTTAAATAACCGACTACCGACAAATGCCTAGAATTTTAACTGACTAGCGACAAATGCTTGAAATTTTAACTGACTACCGACATTGAGACCCCCCATTAAGACCCTGTTAACAGTCTTAATAACATTTAAGAAGTCATGTTTAATAAATGATTTTAAGAATGTCACTAATTGCTGCTAAATCACGTTGATTAGGCAATAGAAAACAAAGGAATTAGTATAATTTAAGGCTACCTTTGTAATATTTGATTAACTGCGTTGGCTCTACTACAAATTTGCTGTTTCGCAAGATAAATAGTGTTGATTATATCGGACCTCTACTCATACTGCTACTGTTTAGATGATTGACAGGTCGGCGACCAATAATAAACCAGTCGAGGTAAGCAGTAGGTGTGGCTGGTTTTTTTGTATTTTAAACTTCGACGTGGACGCGTCTCGTCACAGTGCTTTTCACTTTCCACAGTGCAGAACCAAGTACATTCCCAGGTAGGCACACAGTACAAAATCTCAGAACTAAAAACTTGAATCAAACATTGATATCAGCTTCTTCCTAAAAGATAGCTTACTAAGCCATGCCATAAGGCAAACATAAAAAAAATATTTAATTTTGTAATTTTTTTTCAAATTAACGATTATTTCGGTCAGCTTGAACGTACCAAATAATGTTAAAGAATTCAACTTGTAAAGTTTCATTCATGTACACTGTGATGAGATAGATAACGTCTCGTCTTCACAAGAACAAGACGCTTGTCAGCGTGTACTCGGGGTTCTTTTTAGTGTAG